CCTATGACATCAGGGAGATGATGATGTGACTTTGATTTAAGTGAGGCAGGGCTGTGCACAGTCACTGGCCTCACTTTCTCCTCCAGAGTCATCTGGATCCAGTGGCCAGATATCGATCAGGATGACTGGAGATGGCCCAGGATACTATGGGAGACCTTGTCCCTTTTAAGCTAAGGTCTTTCCAGGTTCTTACTTGGAGCGAGGCAATGCCCGTTCAATGAATAGGCCTCTTTAAGAAATGAGTCAAAGGATGGCCCCTTTAATAAGCAAAAAAAATCAAACTAGAAGGGAAAGACCCTCAGACTTGCTGGCCAAAAGACAAACAGTTACTATTTACATTCACTGTGAGCCAGGAGGGCCCAAAAAATAATCACTAAGTGGTGCTTAGGCAGAGACCTATTGTTGTCCAATCTATGAACTCCAGAGTGAATTGAGTTTAAGATGTAGTTTTCGAGAAAGAAATCTAGCCAGTAAACCCCAAGTTAACTGGAAGCTTTTGGCCATCAAAATTTACCTTCCTTTGGGCAGAACACCCTGAGGGGAGAGGAGAGGGGAAGGGAGAGGAGAGGAGAGGAGGGAAGGACACAGGCCAAGGAGACCTCAGCCCAAAGTACCACACAACTGCTACTTCATGCCTCCAAGCCTTCAGGCATCTCTTCCCCACAAGAGCTCCCCACTTTCACTCCAAGAGTCTCTCCTTCTTCACAAATATCCCATCACCACAGTGTTCCTTTCAACTTTTTAATTTTATTTCTAATTCTGAACTTATGTACCAGAAAAGAGAATTTCCATATACACAGCAGAGCACAAAAAGAGGATTGCATATGAAACCATGAATCTAAATTTCTCGATTCTTGCTTTAAAAAAAGCATATAATAATTCCATATTTCAAGACTGTCCTGCTTGTCTATGTTTCCCTTCTGAACTTCCTTCTGTTATTTTCCATGGATTTTTAAAAATGGCTTTCTCTCTCTCTCTTTTTTTTTGATGTTACTATTGTTTCTCTCTCTTTTTTTTTGATGTTACTATTGTTAAGCTCATCCCTCCTTCCCACTCCTTCTCCCATTAAAAATCAAGAGAAAGGAAAAAAAACCCTTGAAACAAATAAGAATAGATAGGTGAAACATTAAGATTTAATATTGTAATGCTCTCATTTAAAATTTTTTTAATATTTTTATTTTTTTCAATTAGTGAAAAATTTGCCTTCTCTCTCTCCTACTTCCTCCCCTTCTCTCATTGAGAAAGAAATAAAAACAAAACTCCTGTTATAAAAGTATATAGCTAAGCAAAACAAATCTTCCTATTAACCATGAAAAAAAAATATGTCTCAATCTGCTATCTGAGTCCATGTCTTCTCTGTTGGGAGGTGAGTAGCATGTTACATCAGTCCCCTGGAATTTGTGGTTGGCCATTGTACTGGTCAGAGTTCTAAAGTCTTTCAAAGTGACTTAAGACAACATTGTAAAGAAAAACAACTTTGAAAGATTCACCCATTGGCCATGTACAAAAATAGACCCAGAGTCACCTCTCTGTTAAGAGGCGAGTAATATGCCTTATTCTAGATCCTCTGGAGGCACAGTTGATCACTGCATTGATCAGATTTCTTAAAGCTTTCAAAGTCGTTTTTCTTTGTCCTTGTATAAATTGTTCTCCTGGTTCTACTCACTTCACACCACATCATTTGATACCATCCAGGACTCCCTGAGATAATCTTTTGTAATTTCTTTTGTGGTAATATTCCATTATGTTCATTTATAGGCACCCCTTACATTCTAGTTGTTTTCTTTTTTCCCATTTTAATTCCCCCTTCAGGATGGGGACATTTATTTTGCTTGCAGCTACTCCCTCCTCCGTATTATCCTCCCTCTTAACACCACCCTTCCCATCCCTGTTTGTTTCCCTTTTGAGTTTGATATATTTCTACACTAACCTGTTCATGTTTTGTGTGTATTGACCATGTTTATTTCAGACAAGTAGGTTAATCTGATACCCAAAAGAGATAATATTTGCAAAGGGCTTAGCACAGTGCTTTGCAAATAGTAAATACTTAATATAAATGCTTATTCTCTTCCCTTCCCCTTTCCCCATCCCTTATACCCCTTCCTCAAGTATTCCAATTACAAGAAATAGCAAGTCATACCCCATTCTTCCTCTGCTCTAATTTAATCCATTTACCTTTCCTTTTTTTTCCCCTCTTAAAATCCTCAAATAGAACCAATCCACCCCCAAGACCTCTGTTTTTCTTATTTAACTCCTTCAATACCCTTTGAAGACATTAAGGTTCTGAAGGGACACTTGTTTCCTCTTCCCTATTTAAGATGTTATCACTAATAAATTTACCTTTCTAGGTTTCAACTCATGTTAGGATTTCAAAGTTCCTACTCAGTTCTGATCTTTTCATGAGAAATGCTTGAAAGTCCTCTATTCCATTAAAGAGTCCTTTCCCCCTCTGTAGAGTTATATTCAGCTTTGCAGGATAAGTTATTCTTGATTGTAAGCCTATATCTTTGCCTTTTGAAATATTGTATTCCAAGATCTCTTCTGGTTTTGAGCAGAAGCTGCCAGGTCTTGTGTAATCCTAACTGGTCGCTTGGTACATGAATTGCATCTTTCTAGATGCTTGTGGCATTTTTTTCTTTGACTTTGGAACTTTGGATTTTGGCTAGAATATGACATTCTTGGGACTTTTGTTTTATTTTTAGGAGCTGATCAATACATTTTTCCTATGTTACTTTGCCCCTTGGCAAATCAATCTGAAAAGTTTTTATTTATTCTTGCAATATGGTTTCCAAGCTTTTTTTTTCAATCCTGGTTTTCAAGGAGTCCATTAATTCTTAAATTTTAGGCTTTATATTTTCTTCTTTATTCAGTCTTTTGATTGATATTTCTTACTGTCTCCGTGAGCTATTGATTTCTGTTTGGTCTATTGCAGTTTTCAGGAAGTACATTTTTTGGGCAAGGTTTACCATCTCTTCTTAGTTATTTCTTCTCTATTCTATTCTTTTCTCTATAATTTTTAGTTCATTTTTAAATCTTTTGCTTCATTTCTTCTATGTATTCATGTAGTCTTTATGGAGAATCTTTTTTTTTCCTCTTTGTTTGAAATTATTACAATAGTTCTCCTTATTTTGATGGATCTCTGGATTGACAATCATTTATTTGTACTGGTCAGTGTTTTCTTTGATTTATTCATGTCTCCAGCTTTAGTTCCTAAATTGTGCTAGGGCTAGTCTCTGTGCCCTGCAAGGATTTTGTGTGGAGTAGCTGGCCCTGCTTGGCTCACATTAAGTCCCTTAAGATTCTCCATTGATCATGCTGTCTTGGGGTGGGGCAAGGGGAGAGATGGGGAGAAAATTTGGAACTCAAAATCTTATGCAAGTGAATGTTGAAAACTAAAAATAAATAATAAATAAATAAATATTTTTTAAAAAGATTCTGCATTTTGATGTCTACTTGTCAGGTTTAGGCCCCTCTAGATCTTTGAGGTTCAGAATGCTAGATCTTCGGTGCCTTCTCTCATATCTTAGGACAGGATGCGAGTGACCTAGGAGTCCTTGGGCTCCTGGGCTGTTCAGGTCTGAGTACTGCTGCACTGCTCTGGTTTTTACCACTCCTGGGGCTTCCAAGGTCCCCATTCTGGAGCTTTGTGACCACCCTGGGGCTTTCTCACAGGGCCCTCCATTGTAACTGCCTCTGGATCCAGAATCTCACAGGCTACATACACCCCTGGTCTATTTCTGTTTGCAGTGGGAGGATGTGGGCTTGTTTGCCTATGTCTGCATTGAGTTTGCTGGCTTCCTCCATTCTCTTGCTCCTGGGCTTCTGGCTAATTTTTATGTAGTTCTGGGGTGGATGGAGTCACTTATTAGAGTATCTTATTATGTTACATTATTCAAACTAGTACAAATAATTTCAAGGCTTTGCTGGAGTAGGTAGTTGAGAGCTAGATGATCTGCTTCTGTTTAGGAAGCCATTTTGTCCAGAAGTCTCCACCATGCTCTCCCCACACCAAGCTTTCCGGCCATTTGAATGTCTACTTTTTGTGATAGTACAACATTGGAAACAAAGTGGGTGCCAGTTGGTTGAGAAAAGACTGAACAAATTGTAATTTATTATATTATACCATATGAAATAATGAATATAAGTTATTCAAAGAAACATGGAAAGACTTATATGAACAAATACAGAGTGAAGTAAACAGATCTGGAGAAACAATATACACTATGACTACCATAATATAAGTGAAAATAAGACTGAAAGGTAGTGAGAGTGATTAATTACAGTAATATGTATAGGGGCATTTATAAACTCAGAGGACCTAGCTTAAAATGTTAATTAATTTTCATTTTTAAAGGCTTAAGAGATAGGTACATTAGAGAATAAATTGCTACCCAGTTATGTAAAAGAATAATAAAGAATAATAAAAATGGCTGCTTTTTGCCTCCATTCCCACTCATAGCAACTTCCTGGCACTCCCAAATACCTTTTGCTAAAATACCAGTGCCATTTATCACACTGTTTATTAGCTGTTCCCATAGAACTTTCTCCTACAGTAGTCCTCCTCACTTCCCAGACTTCCAGCATCCCAGTCTCTTGATTCATAATCTTTGTCACAGCCCACCTCCCCACAACAGCTAGCCTTCCATAAGAACTTCTAAGGCATGTCAACCTTGAAGAACAGATAAGGAAATACAAATGCACTAATCCCTCTCTTTTTTTTTCAGAAGTGAGGCACTATGAGTGGAGAACATTGCATATACTGCTAGTTTTGTTGGGTTTTTGTTAGTTTTTTTTTATTAGTTTTGCTGAATTGTCCCTTTCCCCCCCCTCTTTTTTATTGTAAGACATAGCTTACTGGGAGGGTGGGAGGAATATTTTCAGAAATGAAGTTGATGTAAAAACCAAAAGATTTAAATTAAATTTTTAAAAAATAAAAAAGAGATATAGGGTACAGTCTTCCTGCTCTCACTGTAAGTCAAAACCAAACTCTGAACACTTACAGTTGAGGAGACGACCAGGATGATCATAGCACTCGCCATCTTGACCAGGAAGATGATCAATATGATGATGAAGAACTAGAAGAAAAGAGATCTGGTCACTGCTATTGGTCACTCACTGACTTCTAGGACCCCCACAATAGAGTCCTACTCACTGGTAACAATGTTTCTAAATAAATAAGAAAAATACGCCCATTGGCCAATTCTTCAATGTTTCAGTTGGTCTCTTGAGTAACACCATTCCTACCTAGATTCTGAAGACAAATAGATAATAAGCATTTCCTCGCCCTCAACTTTAAAAGAAGCCTTGAATTCATGGAGGGTCACAGGGATGAATTTAGGCAAATTCAGAAATGACAATAGTCACCAGAGAAAGAAAGGGCTTACCTTCTTATAACATGTTCTCACCCAGATCAATAACTAGGAACTTTTGCACTTGGAGCAGGAGGCGTAAAACGTGTCCTCAAATCAACTTTCTAAAACAAAGTTTGGATTGGGGGGATTGAAGGATGGAGGACCCTGGGATACTGAGAGGTGGGGGAGAGGGCAGGTGACAGGCTAGTGAGGATCTCAGCTGAGCTTGGCCAGTGCGGAAAAGAAGCATGGTCTTGCAGCTTCCTATTTTGACTGATTATTTTTGCTAAGTAAGCACTAAGTTTAGCTGTTTCCATGCTACTGAAGGACTTTAAGTGCTGCCAATATCCTCTAAAGTTCAGCACCTGGAGCAAAGCCTCAGTTGCCCCATCCTAGTTACAGCTCTGCCCGCACATACAAGGTACAAAGATGATGCTATTCACTCATCTTCCCTGTGACGTGCGTGTGTTATTCCTCTAGCAAAGAAAGGGATGGACTACATTGGTTCATCCTCACTCTGGGGACCTGTGTCACCTGTTTGTGAGAAAAGGAGCTGCTTGGCCCTAGCAGGGCTTGGGATTGATGACAGTCTTCCTCTACTCAAAGCTACTTGGGAATGGAACCCAGAATTTGCCACCAAACATTCGCCAGTTTCCAACCCATGGAATTCTCAGGCCCAACTTCCTCCTTTTACCTACCAGCAGCAACAGGCTCTTATTTTCCCTTATGGCTCCCCAGCAGCCCAGGATTCCCAGGAACAAAAGGATGCTGCCAATGACGATGCAGAAATATCTGACAACCAGCAGCTGGGTGAACGGTGAAATTGTAGCCCCCAGAAAATCAGTAAAGGAGCTTCCATCCATTTTCAAACACAAACCAATGCCCAGTAGTCCCAATCCCCCAAACTGGGAAAGAGAAAGAGGGAGAAAAATGAGGGGGGGGAATGACTTTCATAAGTATTTTACTGGAGAAAGTAATGTCTTTATCAGAAAACTTCCTATCTGTGTCTTGCTCCACCGCCTTAAACTTCTGGACTAGGGAAATTTTCCTTGCTGCCTTGGGTTGGCATTTGGAAGCAGAGATGGTGACTCGCTGTCTAGGTATTCCCAGTGTGTTGGCACCTCTCAACAGGCTGGCCAGAGAAAACTGGGCTCACTCGCCCAACTCATCTTCCAACCATTCCCCTCAAGCACAGGTATTGCCCAGCACATCTATTCCCAAAGAAAACCTATGATGGGGACTTTCAGGAGAGAGGGCTGAATGGAAACATGTGATAGAAAAAGGATTTGAGTGAAATAGCCACCAGAAGGCTATGAGCTGAGTGCCCGATGACCCTAGCCTGGAAGATAGTGAACTCTGCCCCATGAGCTTCCCTAGCATGAGTGGTCCCTCCCAACCGAGCCAGGAAGAATCTCTGTAGAAGAATCTCTCCCTCAGGCAGAATGTAGGGATATAAGGGAGCTCTTGATATAGGGGACTTCTCAGAAATTCCCCCTTCCCTGGAATATATCTGGGTTGTGTAGCGGAGAAGGAGGGCAAAGGCAAAATCTCTTCTTGGTCTCATACTCACAAATATGATGCTGTTAAAAAGAAACATCAGGCTTTTTAGGAGAGCAAAAAGAGCCATCTTCCTCTGTTTGAAGCCTGGGAGATGGCTATGCTAATTCTGTATCTCCAAAGAGCAGCTCCGGCTTTCCAGGAAATCTGCAGGACAGCGGCCTGCCTAGTGGTAGAAAGGCAAGGCTTGCAGCGGGGTGCCCACAGTGCTCTTGAGGAAGGCCGGACAGATGGGATGGTGACCCTCAGTGCCGCTCGTTCCCCGACTGCAGGGCCTTCCCAGACCATCTACCTGTAAGAGACCGTCCCCTGCTTTAATGACTGCCCGGAGCTCATCTGACCCTGGGCTCCTAGACTTGCTCATTATCTGAGGGGTGCTCCCCTTTCCTGGGGGTGCTCCAACCCCGCTCTAGGGGGAGGGGGTCAAGGCTTCCTCCAGCAGGTGACTGACCCTCTTTGGATAAATGGAAGCCCCTCAGTTTGCCTTCCTCGTATGGATTACCCAAATACAATAGGGTCAAAGGTTCTTTTTACTGATCTTGAGATCAGGAACAAATGAAACAAGAAATAATAATAGTATCACCCATTTCTTAAGCAGTTTCCAATTTACTCAGTGTATTCCTCCCAACAATCGTGTGAAGAACCTAATACAAGTATTATCAGCCCTGTTTTACAGATGGAAAAACTGAGGCACAGAGGGGTCAAGTGACTCACCCAGGGTCACACAGCTAGTAAGTGTCAGGGCCAGGACTGGAATTCAGGCCTGATGACACCAAAACCAGTGTCCCTTCCACTGTACATTGTTCTGCCTCACATTAATGCGGTGTTTGGAGGCTCATTTACAGAGGGGCGGGATGGTAGAGGACCAGGGTTCAGTTTCTGCCTTTGTTACTTTGTTACTAATTAGCTGTGTGATCTTAGCCTTTCTAAGCCACTCACAGAATGGAAGAGGCTGAGCCAGTCATCCTCTAAGGTCACTTCCAGCTCTAAATCTGTCCCCTTATTGATCATGGGGGTAGTGTAAAGAGCCCTGAATGTTGTGTTAGGAGGCCTGGGTTAAAATCTTTTAACTGCTACTTTTATGATCCATGTGGCCTTGGGAAATGCCTTTCTCTCTCTAGGCCTCAGTTTCCTCATCTGGAAAATGAATGAGTCAGATTTCACTAGATGGTTTCTAAATCAGATACTTTCTAGTTCTTCATCTTAGGATTCTGAGAATGGCACAATCCCCCCCCACACACACACACACAAAGGTAGGAGGAGACTTAGCTAAATAATGAGGAATCATGGGCATCCTGGTTGGTGGCCCATGAGGCAAACCTTCTGCTTTGCCTGCTAGCTGAGCTGACCCACAAGTGTGGCTTGACGTCATTGCTTAGGGCAATTATATGGTTTTCCTCCAACTGGCCAGAGCAGGCTGGGTGCCCAGGGACTAAAGAACAACCACTTGAGATTTCTCCCAGCGCAGCTCCTCAGAAAGGAGTAAGCTATTCCTCCAATGTCCCCAGCCAGACTCTGTTTGCTTGATTCTCTCTCTACCTGATCAGTTTTTCTCACCTATAAAGTGGGAATAATACTCCCTGTATGGGTAGGAGAGAAGTGCTTTTGAGACCCCCCTGAATCCTGCCTCATCTCATCCTTTGTGTGCCCTAAAGAAGTAGGTGTGTGGTCTCAGTTGCCCTTTGAGGATGGAGGGAAAAAGTAGACAGCCGTGAATGAAGAGGATATAACTGAAACTGTCCCAGGTCTCTTTGCGGTGGCAAAGAACTGGAAATTACTGGGATGTCCATAAATTGGGGTCAAATAACTTGCCCAGGGTTACCCAGTTAGTAAATGCCTGAGGGTGAATTTGAACTCAGATCTTCCTGACTCCAAGCCCAGAGCTCTATCTACTGTTCCCTTATATAAAATTACAGGACTAGTAAACAAAATATAATAAAATCATCCTATGACCTGCTGCACATATTATTATCTATATTTTATAGGTGAGGAAATGGAGGCTTAGAATGTTTGAGTGGCTTGTCCTAGATCAACTACCTAGCAAATGCCCGAGGAAGGATTTGAACTCACACCTTCCTGATTCTGAGTCCTCTATACTGGGCTGCCCAAAAAGGGGGAGAGAGGAGGGGAATAAGTACTTATATAATGCCTGCTATGTGCTAGGTGCTGTATGAAGTGCTCTACAAATATTAAAAGAAGTACAAAGCAAGAGCTCTCTCTAAGAGACAGGAGGAGGAAAGATAATTTCATGGAATTTGGGGATGGGAATGGTGATGCCCCTGCCTCCTGGTCCCAACCCCAATCCATACTTCTCACTCCAAGGCAGACAGCAGAAGATATACTGATAACTGGGCCATCAAAAGAACAAAGGGGATGGGATGCATAAGTGTGAAACCAGCTCAAGGGTCCAGGGGCTCTTAGCTAATCCACATTCTGGGCCCTTTCAGAATCACAGGGTGAGGGGGAAGGACCAGCCTGGTGAATGTCTGGGACTTGGTTCCAATGAACAATGAAATGAAGCCATTCCATGATGTCACAAAAAGAACAATGTATATGAAGGAAGAGAAGACCTGAGCTCCAGTCCCACCTCTGATTCATCCTGGCTATATGAACTTGGCCAAATCGTTTTACCTTTCAATTCTGTAAGCGATGTTTCAAGACTAGAAATTGCAGAGAAGGCATGATGGCATTGGCAGAAGGAGTTTCTTCCCTGGTGGGGCTTGCTATCACAGGCTCAATTCCCTATCTCTATTTGGAGTCAGGAGACTTGCAGATCTTGCCTCCACTTCTTGTGACCTAGAGCAAGTCCCTTTCCATCTCTGGGCCTCAATCTCCTTACCTGCAAAAGAAAGCAGTTAGACCACCTGGTCTCCAAGGTCCCTCCTTTGAGCTCTAAGTCATACAATTGCATGGCATACAGGAAGCTCTTAATAAATGCTTGTTGATTGATTGAGCTTCTCAAGACGGTGATTCTGCATAAGATTTGTCAAATGAGAGGAGATATAAGATATATCTTGGGAGTTGAGATATAAGAAGACATCTCCCCCTCACTTCTTTGCAAGGTTGGGATCCAAGGGGGAGAGGAGCATTGTGTATGACAACATTAAGCTTATTTAATATGTTGGTTGGTTTTACTGATTTTTTTTTCTCTTCTTCCTCTTGCTAAAAAAATTCTCTGTTATAAAAAAGTGGGGGAGGGGAAGGATACAAGGGAAAATCTAGGTGATGTACAAACAAAAGATGAAAATTAAAATCCATTTTTTAAAATTCCATGAAGCCAAGAAGCAAAAATTACCATCCCCCAAAAAAAACTCTGATGGAGTTCTGGTTTCATAATCTGAACCCTCTGTGCCTTCTTCCTACATTCCCATCAATGGGTCACCACTTGGGTTTCCCAAAGACAATTGGATTTCAGATTTAAATGGCCACTGTAGGATCCTCCGCCCTTGGGGTTAGGGGGCACGGACATGACCCTGCTGACTCACCTGCTTAGCAGGATCCTGGAGCTTAGTAAAGGATTCAAGGACCTTCTGCCTTCTTGGGTCCAGGCGTATCCTCTGCTTCTCTCTTTCTCTGCTTTAGCCTCCAGGTAGACCCACCCTACCACCCATTAGGAGCTGTGGTTTGAAGAGTGTCTCCTCTTACTGCCTCAGAAGCCCTGATAAATGTGGTTCTGGGCCTGCAGGAATTCCCTGTGGGTTTCTTCTGGTAAACTTCTCTGGGAGGAGAGCCGCTAGGAAGCTGTGAGCTCTTAGTCTTTCTCCTCTGATGACTCAGACTTAACCCTTTGTCTTTCCTCTGCCTCCCTTCCCCCCAGAACTAGCCTCAGAGCCAGGGAACCATTGGGCCAAGCCTTAGGAAACTGAGGCAGAGAGAAGGTTCTCCTGCTGTGGTCCCAGCTGCCTTTGCAAATGTCCCCTCCCTCTCTACTTGTTTCTCTAGTTGTCAGTGGGCTTCATTCAGGGCAAGTGGGGGTGAATGGGGAGGGTTATATATACAGTGCTGTGTCCACAAGGAGCCAGGCATTGACAGTTGTGCCCTGGATACTGAAGGGCCTTATGAAAATCTATTTTCTTTATTAAGAGACAAGCTTTTCCAAGAATCAAGAGATGACCAAGTCCAGTTGAGAAAAACACCCCATTTGTTAAAGTTGATCCCTTATTTCCAGCAACATGTGCTAAGTGTGGAGCCTGGTGCTGGGCTCTGGGAAAGGTGCAAAGTTTATATATAAGACATGATGCCTGCCCTCATGGGGCTCCTATTCCAGTGGAGAGGGGGAGGTAGAATTTTAGACAGAAACACAATGAAGTATAATGTGCAATGTTACATGAAAAGTGCCTTGTACAGTAAGAAATGAAGACTATGAGGAATTCAGAGAGATTTGGGGAGACTAATATAAACCATATGGACAAGGTGGCACAGTAGATAGTGAGTCAGGCCTGGAGTCAGAAAAACTCATCTTCCTGCATTCAAATCTGGCTTCAGACACTTATTAGCTGTGTGACCCTGGGCAAATCACTTCACCCTTTTTGCCTCAGTTTCCTCATCTGCAAAATGAGTTGGAGAAGCAAATGGCAAACCACTCCAGTATCTTTGCCAAGAAAATCCCAAAAGGGGTCACAGAGTTGGACACAACTGAAATGACTCAACAACATACGAACTTATGCCAAATGAAGTAAACAGGACCAGGAGAACAAATACATATCAACTACAATTATAGAAATCTTAAAAAAGGTAGTAATTCTGGAGGTGGAGCCAAGATGGCCAAGAAAAGGCAGTGACTCACCTGAGCTCTCCCCAAAACCCCTCTAAACACCTTTAAATAATGCCATAAAACAATTGCTGGAGCAGCAGAACCCACAAAAAGACAGGATGAAATGATTTTCCAGCCAAAGGCAACTTAGAAGGTTGGCAGGAAAGGTCTTTCACACCTGGGTGAGAGTAGGGCACAGTCCAGCTCAGACTGCACCAGCAGAGCCCCGCCCCAGCAAACCTGGATCAGTCCCTGGGAGCCATTGAATCAACACTGGCAGCAGCTGCCTCTGGAGCTTTCAGCCCATAGACAGTAAG